GTTGAAATTAAATGGTATTAATTTCTAGACTTAGATTGTTACTTCCAGATTTTATAATTTCCAAAAGGAAATGAAATTGTTTTAAATTTTGAGTATGGTTGTAAGTTCTATTGACTCTTGAACTCTGGATCAAAGAGATAAAAATGTCCCCTGTAATTCATAAAGGGGAAAGTTTGTATAGAGCCAGGCTTTAAATAATCAAATTTGAGCCTATCTCAAAACTTTCACTAGAAGAGGTTGTTTTCGTGCTCAAATATCCTCAAATTGATCTTCTTGACATCAAAATGTATAGACATGAAAAAAAATAGATTTCAAGTTTTGGAAATAGGGTATTTTGTAATGCATTTTTGGACAGTCAATTCAAGATTTTCAAGTTTTCATAAATCTATCGATCTACACTAGTTTTGAAGCTTTAAAATTCATAAATAAAGACAAAAATATATTTTAAGGCTATCACAGAGATTTTCATTACTGAAACCACATTTCTCAATACTATTTGAAGGTAAGCTCTAATTTGATGGTTTAGAGCCTAGGCTCTATACAAACTGCACTCATTTATAAAAGCTCCAAACTCTGGTTGGAAGTCATATGAACACCGAGGAGTATGGAGATGTAAGTTAAGCTTGGTGAAACTTTGTGTAAAATTTAGAGAAATTTAAAGTAAGCGTTATTACATAAGCCCCCTCAAATCATTGGGACGATGATGACATAAGCCCCCTCATTTTTGGTATTTTATGTGTGTTTTCGTTTTCTCTTTTTTTTTTTCTAATTTTCAAATTGCTGTCGGATTTTAAGCGGCAAAGATACGTCATGATTTTGGATATTGAATATTTGAAATCATGTTTTTATATACAAAATCAAATATGATTTAGGATATTTATCCCGAAATCATATTTGATTTTGTATACGAGGACCTGACTTTGGATATTCAAGATCCAAATCTGAACTTACTTTTGATCGGTCTCGAAATTAAAGTTAGTTGCAAGGCTAAAGAGAACATATCATTAAAAGTTTTGATCCTCGAAATACTCCTATACCGAGATTTACTTGTGGGAATAAGTGTATTGTATGCTACCTAGGGACCATAAACTCTTCTCAGGGTAGTTCTACTTCTTCTTGCTAAAGATGTTAAACACCATAAAGCACTTGGATTTTTTCTTTTTCTCAATAAACATACACTGACAAATGGGTCCGTCCTTCAAGTTTGGGCCATTAATCTATTTTTAATTCAGAAAATAATATATTTTTACTTTAAATTTTCCTAATTTAATGTCCTTCCCCCTCGTCTCTTCTTGTAATTGGAAAATTTCCAGCCCTTAATTGGAAAGAATAGACAATGAGATATGAAAATGAGAAGATCATATTTATGGCCATACTTCTATATTGGAGACCTAATAATTACTTAGGGTTTGGTCCAAAAATTGGTGTAGAAATAGAGAACCGACTAAACAAATGGGTATATCTGCGCACTTGTGAACCCAGAGGAGGGCCTGGACCATAAAGTGTGGCCCGACTTGTGAACCCAGAGGAGGGCTTGGACCATAAAGTGTGGCCCGAGGGCAGGGCAGGCTAGGGCCACTAGGCCCTGAGTGCGGGGCATGGCTAGGGCCACGACATCCCTGGCCTAGCCCAGCCTTCTTTTTCTTTTCTTTTTTCTTTTTCCTTGAGGTTTTTTTTCTTTTTATCTAAGCTGGCCTGGGCTTGATAGGGCTAGGGCTGGGCCAGGCTCAGACCCACCTTATGGGGACTAAGGTCTGGCTAGGGCTAAGTCAGCCCAGCTAAGGCCTGGCCTGTTCCTAGCCCTTATTTCATACAATATATTTATAATATATTTATAGTAATATAATGAAATAGACTTTGAAAGATCATGTTAGGGCGCTCTGTTTGACCGCAATTTTTTTAAGACTCTTTTCATTTAGATGAACAATTTCGAAAAAACAAAAAACAATTTTCAAACACACTTTAAAAGGTCATTTTCAAGTCAATTAACATAGGTCTTTCGGGGATGATTGGAATTAAAAGGATTTTTTATTGGATTTTAGAAACACTGAATCAAGTTTTCACTAGAGTTACCAGACTGGCCATTGAATTGGTTGAAGAGTCTAGATTAATTAAAACTAATATAATTGTTAGTCGGCTCTATTTAACTGAATTATAAAAATAATAAGAAAAATTATAAATAGAAGATTAAATATTTTTAAGAATTAGTTACCCACTTTGGTTAGTCGAATTGGTTAAAACTAGCTAATCAATCTCACAAAATTGGTTAAATATTAGTTTTAGTTGATTATCAGTCAAACTTAGTTTTTACTCTAAACTAGAACAAGCAAGACAGTAATGTTTTGACGACCACGACCTTGGTTCTTGTTTTAATAAGGAAAATGGTTTGATAGGACCCTATCAAAAAACGTAAAACCTTATCTCATAACTCATCAAAAATTGTAATTCATGCATCAAAAAACCTTTACAACAATCATCTCGGTTTGAACATTATGGTTATGAAAACAAGGATTTCCAACTTTAAAAATAGTGTATATTGGAACAAATTATCTAGACCACCCATTTCATCATAAAATAAATATTTGTAAATCTTTATTATTTTTTGAGTTTTTTTTGGTGTTGAAAATTGATTTTAGATCTAGATATTTTTAGTGTTGAAAGCAAAGTTCGCAAAACTGGCCGGTCCGAACCGGAACCGACTGCTTTAGATCGGTAATGGAAAGGTACCGATTCCTATTAAGACCGGTTTTAGGGTACTAATAAAAAGTTGAGAATCTCTAAAAAAAGTGACTACGAAAACAGGCCGGTTCGACGGTGAATCGGTAGTTTTAAGTCAAAATCTGCCGGTTTCCTCTAACCTGTCTAGTTTACTATTATAATAGGCGATATAATCATCATAACGGTATCCTATTAAATAACAACTGTTATTTGACACAAAGGCTGTTTTTTTAAATAGAGCATGTGATTCTCGTTTTGTAACTTTTTTTATTCAATTTTTTGACTATTTTTTATTTTTTTTGGTGAATTATTACACTTATGCAATTGAAATTTTCTACAAATAATTGTTTATTGAATAAAAAAGCGATGAAGAACGGTTTTTGGTGGATTGAAATGGCGGATTTTTGAAACTGCGAAATTTCCGCCATTTTGTCAATCAGAGCTTCAATACCCCATAAATATGTATGGAAAGGTAGGGCTTTGATTCATTACTAAAGCCTTAAACTTTTTCCTATTTTGATTTGTTGAAAATGATGAATTTTGGAGGATGATTTCTACCGAAAATGTTGCTGCTCCAAGAATTGTATCCAATGAAAAACACTTTGATTTTTGATCGACGTATTGATCGTTTTTATTGAATTGATCAGTTAATTTTGATCATCAAGGCTTCATAAATCGAATACGTCAGGTATGTTGATTTATCATTGAGTACATTTATTTATATGGATTTTTTTGTTGCGTTTTTCTATTGAAAATTTTGTGAAATGAAATATCCGCCATTTTTTGAAGAACTATCTCAATAGTGAATTGATCTTCATAATATTTGAGGCATTTTAATTGTGATTGAAGTATCTATCATATCTCCATGTCAATTTGTTCAAAAAATGAATGATTTGGGGCTGATTTTGACTCTAAAGAATATGTTTCTTTGGCTCGATTTTAGGGTTCTTAAAAAAAATTTGTTTCTTAATAAAATTACGATTTTTTTATAAAAGTATGTTATTTGTGATGAATATGAGAAAAAAATAGATTCTTTTTTTTTTTTAATTTTATATATTTTTTGATGAGCTTGTTGGATTTTTTTTAATGCTATATATATTTTTTGTACAAAAATATATTTTTTTGTGATGAATACGAGAAAAAAATTTCTTTCTTTTTAATGTTATATATTTTTGGTGAGCTTGTTGGATTGTTTTTAATGTTATATTTTTTTACAAAAATATGTTTTTTTTTATGAATATGAAGAAAATATATTTCTTTCTTTGAAATGTTATATATTTTTGGCGAGCTTGTTGGATTGTTTTTAATGTTGTATATATTTTTTTTACAAAAATATATATTTTTTATGAATATGAGAAAAATATATTTCTTTCTTTTTAATGTTATATATTTTTGGTGAGCTTATTGGATTGTTTTTAATGTTATATATATATTTTTTTTACACAAATAAGTTTTTTTTGGGATGAATATGTAAAAAAAATATTTATTTCCTTTTAATGTTATATATATTTTTGGTGAGCTTGTTGGATTGCTTGTTATGTTACATTTTTTTTTTTTATAAAAGTATTTTTTTGTTCTACTTTCTTCTTCAGTGTGGAAATGTGGGATGAGTTGGTGTTGACTAAACAGTGTTAAAAACCTTCATGTTTTTTGGTTAAGTTTCCTGTATAAAACAATGAAGTTTTTGGGCTTTCGATAGGAAATCATAGTACGTGGTAAAGGCACTCCATTTTTTGCTTCATTTTTGTTTTTTTGGGCTTTTGATAGGAAATCATAGTACATGGTAATGGTACTCCATTCTTTCCTACATTTTATCTTTCAAATCGTATCATTTGCAGGTTGGCCTAACTACATTGCAACATCTAGTTTGGACTTTAGAACAGTTACGAGCTTATTATATAATATTTTGTTAAGCTAGATTTTATTTCAACACTACTGACTGCTATTAAGTGAGAATCAATGGAATTACTGTGGAAGTCTTGTGAATACGACCTTGTTATATAACATTTTATTAGGATAGACTTTATACATACCCATAGATTTATTGCAGCATTATTAACGGTTATTCAATGAGAATTTATGGAATTACTGTAGAAGTCTAGTGAATTTACAATAATTTTCTATTGCTCTATTGAAGCCATGAATTGTCTGCACCTTATGATGCAACTTGATCCAAATGACCAATATATGACCAGTCTAGAAGATGAAAAAAAAAAAAAAAGACTTTTTTATGCCTTAATCTAAATTTTTCTATTTTTTTATTTTTTTAAAATAATTTGAGGGTTTTTAACTTATATTTTTTTAAAAAAATCTACTTAACCGATTAGTCCGGTTAACCATTCGGTTAGTTCGATTCCTGTTCGAACCACTCCTAAGCTCATGAGCGGTTAACCGTTCCGATTAATCCGATTAACAACTCGGTTAGTTCGGTTCCGGTTCGAACCCTTCGTATGCTCATGAGCGGTTAACCGTTCCGGTGTGATTTTGTGAACAAGGGTTGAAACTAAGTGATTTCCAAATCAGGATTTAAGGTGAGGCCTTATTTTGTTTTCATAGTGTCCGGGCCTCATAGAAACTTCCCTGAGGGCAAAAGCCTCTTCAGGAGCCGTTATGGCACCAAGCCATGGCTCGAAAAACCCTAATTCCTTCACAAACATTGCATTGCAAAACAGAGAAATTGAGAGTGCAAAATAGCAAAGATTATATGGTTAAAGACAACACAAAGCTAAAGCAAAAGTTTAAAGTTTTGCAGAAGAGAAGTAAATCGAATCTACTGATTCTCTAATTCCAGGTATTCCTCGCATGTTTTCGCTCTGATACAGTTTCTTTCAACAATGGCTAACCCATTCAAAATCATGGGTTTGACAAAGTCCTTTCTCTACAAAACCCACTACATACTTTCCGTCCTCGTCCCCCTTCCTCTTACTTCCTCCCTTCAGCATTTCTGCACAAAAAGCCCTTCTCTCTCTAACCCATCTTCTCTCACTAGTGATACCAAAGCCTTATGCACTTCTTCAACCATAAACCATCTCATTGAATGGATTGGTCTCTCGAAAGAAGCAGCCATTGCAGCTTCTTCCATCTTTCCCACCATGAAAACTCCCGGAAACCATATCGCTGTAATAAATTTTCTTAGAAACTCTGGTTTCCATGACACCCATATCCATAAAATTGTTATCAGAAACCCTCGTAGTCTTTCAATGGATGTCGAGAATATTATCAAACCCAAGTTGAAGTTATTCGAAGATTTGGGTCTTTCTGGATCTGAACTTGGGGCCGTCATAGCTGCTAACCGAAGTCTTTTGTGTGCTAGTCATGATAGACGCCTTCAGCCGACTATCTTGCTTCTGAAAAACTATTTGGAGAATAAGGAAGACGTTCTAAGGGCAATTAAGCGTTGTGGTGGTCGGATCCTCTGCTATGATCCGGAGAAGATACTTCTGCCCAACATAAAGTTTATGCAAGAGTTAGGAATTGTGGGTCCAGAGCTAGTGAAATTCTTGTCAAGGTATCCTAAGCTCTTTAATCGACATCCCAAGAGGACTGAAGAACTTGCAGAGAGAGTTAGAGAATTGGGTTTCCCTTATTCGAATATGTTTTGCTATGCCATGCTTGCTTTGAGCTCCATTAGCAAAGAGACATTGCAGAGTAAAGTCGAGTTTTTCAAGAGTTATGGGTGGTCAGAAAATGATGTCTTTTCAGCTTTCAGGAGGAATCCCCACCTGTTATCTCTCTCTACAAAGAAGTTGAGGAAAGGTATGGACTATTTCACTAAAGAAATGAAGTTCGATAAGCCTTTTCTGATTGCTCGTCCAAAGCTTTTCTTTTTTAGTTTAGAGGGAAGGGTAATTCCTAGGCTTAAAGTGATGGAAGCTTTAAGATCTAAGAATTTGTTGGAGAAGGATGTGGATTTTCATGGAGTTTGCTCAAAGTTGGAGAAGAAATTTTTGGAACAATATGTTTATTATTATAAGGATGAAGCAGAGAACTTGCTTCGAATCTATAACGGATGCAAAGAAAACCCATTAATTGGCGTTTAAGATTATTGGCTTCTCAGAAGTCATGCAGTAAGAAATCAACACATTTTGTTTGGTTGATCAGTTGATTTCAGTAATTTTTTACATCAATTTTGTGAAATCTCGCAAGTGTGACTTTTAACATCCATTTTGTGAGTTCTTGCAATTGCGAACGATTATATAGTTCTAGTTATGAACTTTTTATTTGGTTTCTGTATTTAATTTTATCTCTTTTATTTTTCTTGGAATTCTTATTGGGTCAGCACTTCTTTAGAGATAGAATGGCTGCTAACATTGAGATGCTATTAGGGGATTTGAGTTTTAGGGATAAAGTTGGTTTGTTTGTCTGTTACAGCGAAATTTGTCTTCCTCATGGCTTAAAATAACATGCTTTATCCATTTTTTCACCCTTATTATTGATAAAAATGTTCACCACCTTTTGATTCCAGGAGTCAGTGAGTGAGCTATTTAATTTGGATGTTCAAGTTTTCCATATAATTGATTTTATGAAATTAGAAATGTGACGCAATTGTATTCACTATACATAAATGTGGTGCAATCTCGAGCTGCCTAATGGTGCATTCTGTCATGAATTCTTATTGAATTTTGTGGGACTAGCTTTCAATTTGAAATTTGACACTGTTCCTAACGGAAAACAAATGCATATGATTATCTCAATGTGTCATGGAATTTGCTAAATGTGAACATATGGAAAAGTGAGAGGAATAGGCATGGGCTTTAGCTATCCATAATTCATTATTGATGAATGTGACTCCTAAATCTAAAAGACCTTCAACTAATCCCCATATAAGAAATTTCCATGTCTCTCTCTTTCTTAGGAAAATCATATATTTCGAAATCTCTCTCTCTCTCTCTCATGGTCTCTCTCTTCATAAATATTTTTTGATATGTATCTCTTGTGATCTCCATTAGATAGAATTACATATAACCTTTTTGCCCCATTATATGTGTGCAAGTATTAAAATTTAACATACGAAATCTATGGATAGGGCAATGCAATAGGAAATTAATGTATGTACCCTATTTCTTTGCCAATCCTTCCACTCCATCCATAACCTCCATTGGCAGAGACAAAGCTCTTGGCCCCGACGGATTCCTCATCGCTTTCTACACCCACTTCTCATAAATCCTTCTCCCTGATATCTCAGCCTTTATCCAAGAATTTACCATAGAAGCATTATGTACAGAGACATGAATAGAACTTTCATTGCCCTAATCCCCAAAATTTGATTGAGTTTATGATCTTAAGGCTTTTAGGCGCATCAGTCTGCTGAATTTCTCCTGCAAAATTCACTCCAAAATCGTGGCCACTAGGCTTAGAACAGTGCTTGATCGAATCATCTCTGAAAACCAAAGTGGTTTCGTCCAGAGCAGGTAGATCTTAGGTAGTGCTGTCATTTTGCCCGTGAAGCATTACCACCACCAGACTAGGAAACCTGGCCTCATTCTCAAACTTGACTGGAAGAAGGCCCATGATCATGTCGATTGGTCCAATCTCCTCCCCGTCTTCTCAAAAATGGGGTTTCATAAAAAAATGGATCTAGTGGATACATGCCTGCACTTCCACCACCTCCTTCTCCATCCTCATCAATGGCACACCTAAAGGCTACTTCTCTTCTGCCAGAGGTCTCTACCAAGGTGGCCGGTGTCATCCTTGTTGCATCATTGCATGCTAATTTTCGAGATTCTTGGCAGATCTTTATCTTGACTCTACCATAGGCGCACATTGGAGGGTTTTAAGATCCTTTAGGCTCAGCAAAGATATCTGCAGTATGCAGACGACCCTCTTGTTTTCTTGGATGCCTCCTTTGAGCAAATTGACAAAATTTGGACCTTCTTTGATGTTTCGAACTCGCCACAGGTATGAAGGTCAATTTGGCCAAATCCAAACTTATGGTTATCCATTTCACCGGATGACCTAATTCATCTCCACGCTGATAGATTGATATGTGGTACCAACAATCTTCTGACCAAATAACTTGGCCTTCCACTTAGGAAAGCCCCATGGGACCTTATGGTTGATAATTTTCATAGACTCGCTTCCTGAAAATGTTGTTTCCTCACTCTAGGTGGCAGGATCACCCTTATCAAAGCTCGTTCTCTAGCATTCCAATTTATGCCATGTCTCTCTTCATCATGCTGGCCTCCACTGTAAACATTCTCAACAGACTGATGAGGAATTTCCTCTGGCTGATAGACAGCTCCAAGAATAGATCCCTTTTTTCTTGGGATAAAGCCTGCCAACCCAAAAAAGCTGGGGTCTAGGAATCTGTGATACGAGCCTCCTTGGCAAATGGTGGTGGCGCTTTGCCACCAACCACAACTCCCTCTGGCATCGCAGTCTCAGCCAAAAGTATGGCACTGATAGCATGGGACTGGTTTCTCAAAGAGAATCCTAGGACAGCTACCCCTTCTGCTCTTTTCAAAAGCATGTTCTCTTGCCAGGAAATTTTTATGCCTGTAATTTAATACAGGGTTATTTCAGGTACCAATGTTCTCTTTTGGAACCATCTATGGATTGGGGACCACGCCTTGAAAGACCTTTGACCCAACCTCTTCTCACTAGCCTCTGACCAAAATGCTACTGTTGCAACTTATTTCCAACAAAACACCAGCCAACTCATTTGGACTATGAACTTAACCTCCTCAACAACCTATCCACCTTTTTCATCAAGGAGAAGGGCCGGACAAACCTTTTTGGTCCAAAAAACATTCCAGAATCTTCTCTGTTGCTTCGTTTTACAAAGCCATTGACCGTAACCAGACCCCAACACCATCCTCTCGCCTCAAAGCTTAGGTCACTGAAACCCCCTCCTAGGGTCCGAGCGTTTTCTTGGCTATCCATCTCTTGCAGAAACCTCACCCTCGATCAACTCCAAAGACGAGGCTTTAACCTTACTATTAGATGCCATCTATGTAAAGAAGAGGAGTCTCAATCGAACCTGTTCATTCACTATCATTTTCCATACCAGGTGTGGAGCAAACATATCAGCGATTGCAACTATCAGTGGATCACCCCACTGAGTATCCAACCCATTCTCAACCTACTTCTCCCCACCCTTTTCTGTTGCGATCTTATTCCTTTGGAGAGCATCCATCCAAGCCACCTTATGGTATATTAGCAAGGAATGAAATGCTCGTATTTTCTGCGACACTAGAAGCAGCACAACCGCGACAGCGGAGAAAGCTAAATCAATCACTATCTTTTGAGCTTCTAGCTGCAAGTTTTCCAACTTTGAAAATAATTGGCTGGAAATCTCCAGGTCAAAACACTCCAAAGTTTCTTGCTCTAGCACTTGGAACCCCTCTCAAGGTGCCATGTAGGGAAATATTGATGGATACTCCTCAGGCAACCTCGTTCTATGTGGAGCTGGAGGAATTTTCAGAGATCCCAATGGAATGTTCTGCTTTCTTTCTCTCTACAAATTGGCCCTGGAAACTCCAAACTATCTGGTGGAGAAGATCCTCTTGCTATTACCCATTAAGTGCCTACTGAATTTCAAGAGTGTCTCAACATTGGGATCGGTTCATGTCCTCTGACTTCTTTGCACGAACCGACTCTCTCTCCTCCACCTCCATCCCAACCCTGTGCTTTTTTCCTTCAGTAAAATTGTCATACGGCTCTCTACAGCTATGGTATCACAACTATTATGGCTCTCTACAATGTTGGCCATGGTATCACATCTAGGCATACATAGTTTATCTCCCATGGTATCACCTCTAGGTGTATAGACTTTACCTCACTAGGGCCTGTGGCATGCAGCCATGGCATTCTGTGCTGCCTTGTTTTTGATGCGATATACGATAGAGATAATTTCTCCATTTTCATTCCAGTCACTGCCCAGTGTAACCGTATTCCAAAATTCTATGGTAATTTATGTGTTTTTGACTTTTGGTTTTACTTTGACCCCAAGAACTGCATTTTCAAGATCTTGGTCGAATTCATGAAGTTGTTGTAGAACTGGGACTCAGGAAAAATCGAATGCTTAATACTTGATTCATCACTAGGAGCTTGGAGTGAGCCAAAGAACCCTAAACTGATTGGATACATGATTGGAGGATATCACCATTTATGCTACATCCTTGTTAAAGGGGATGTCTTTGCTTTCGACATGGAGACAAAGAAGTGGGAGATTGTGAAGAACCGACAACCTATAGGAAAATACACACACATTAGGACCCTAGAGTGGGATGGTGCCTCTTGTATTGCATGTATAAACTTGGGTTTGGAACCCGAGTGTTGGGTTCTAACCAAAGAGAGTAAGTGGGTGGGGGCACATCACCTTGCAATTGTGCCTGCAAATGTGAGTAACAATTCCAGTCCACTCCTTTTACTTGGAGAAATGTTTATCTTATCCCAAAATGGTGAGATATTAACATGTGATAAGAATGGCAAGTTGAGTGAGATATTAACATGTGATGAGAATGGCAGATTGAGGGGGGACGGTCATTGCTATAACTTTGCCCATTACAAGCCTACTTTATATTCCTGGGAGTTTGGTCAGAAGATTGAGGGTGCTAGCTGAAGATCATTGATGTAATTTGTACATTACAAGCCTACTTTATATTCTTGAGAGTTTGGTCAGAAGATTGAGGGTGCTAGCTGAAGATCAGTGCTGTAATTTTGTGCATTACAAGCCTACTTTATATTCTTGGGTGTTTGGTTTGTTTCTTGGGAGTTTGGTTTGTCGAGCTTATGCAAGAAATTGGTTCTTGTCTAGATAAGAGTTAAGAGAATTGGGTTTCATCACTTACTCGAATATTTTTGCTATGCCATGACCGCATTGAGCTCCATTAGCAAAGAGACATTGCAGGGTAAAGTCGAGTTTTTCAAGAGTTACGGGTGGTGAGAAGATGATGTCTGTTATCTCGCTCTACAAAGAAGTTGAGGGAAGGTATGAAGTATGGACAATCTCACTATTGAAATTAAGTTTGATAAGCCTTTTTTCATTGCTCGTCCAAAGCTTTTCTTTTTTAGTTTAGGGAAAGGTGATATATAGGTGTAAAGTGATGGAAGCTTTGAAATCAAAGAATTGGTTGGAGAAGGATGCGTATTTTCATGGAGTTTGTTTGAAGTTGGAGAAGAAATATTGCAACAAGATGTTTATTATTATCAGGATGAAGCAGATTGACTGGCATCTAAAGATTATTGGTTTCTCAGAAGTCATGTCATGAGAAATTGATGTATAATATTTATTATTTATTTTTTGGTTGGTCGGTCGAATTCTATAACTTTTGATCAATTTTGTGAGTTCTTTCAATTGTAACTTTTGACATCAAATTTGTGAATTCTCGCAAATCTGAATATTTAATAGTTCTACTTATGAGTTTTTTATTTGGTTTCTGTGTAATTTTTGTTGTTTTATTTTCCTTTTTCTTATTAGGTGAGCCTTGCTTTAGAGATTGTACGGCTGCTAACATTTGGATGCTATTAGGGGATTTGAGTTTCAGGGATTGAACGGCTGCTAACATTTGGATGTTATTAGGGGATTTGAGTTTCAGGGAAAGAGTTTTGTTTGTCTGTTGCAGCAGTACGTTCTAAACTTCTGTTTTCCTCATGGCTTAAAATGGATTCATTTCTTCACCCTTATTACTGATAAAAAAAAATGTTCCCCACCATTTGGCTCAAGGAATCAGAAGGTGAGTGAGGTGTTTAATTTGGAGTTGACTTTATTAATTTGGCTAAAAAAATAATTTTTAAGATGCTTCTTCAAAATTTTCCTTTTTGTGATCATTCATAACAATAAAAGGAGTATATATTTAAAAATTAGGTCAAATAAATGACCTTAACATGGTTTTTGAACATTCTTTCATTGTATTACTATAGAACCTTTGTGCCCTAAATAATCAAAGTAAGGCCCACCTTCAAATAGTATTGAAAGATGTTTCAGTATTGGAAATCTTTGTGATGGATGACCTGAAAATTAATTATAAAATGTAAAGCTTAAAAAATAGTGTAGATTAAGGAGATCTATGAAAATCAATGGTCCAAAAAATGTATTACAGATGTACTATTTCAAAGATTTGAAATCCAGTTTTTTTCATGTCCATACATCTTGAGGATGAGATGATCGATTTGAGGATTTTTGGGCATCAAAACACCCTCTTTTAGTGAATTTATCAGGTGAGCCTCAATTTGATTGTTTAGGGCCTCACCTTTTTATGAACTTCTTCCATGTATCTAAGGGCATCTTGTAACAAGGTATCTTGACCTTATATTTTCAAGAGTATCAAGTGATTATGGGCCTGTTCGATATGTAGTGTTTAAAGTTTTAAATTTCATAACTAGGTTGAAAATAGATTTTTAGCCATCATAAAGTTTTCGATACCAGAAGTACACTGCCAAAAAATTCAGAGGTGCTTCTTACTTGTACACTATAAGGATGACACATTACAAGAACATCATCTATGGGGGAGTGACTTATTGTAATATAATGAAATCATACTTTTAGAAAATTATATTCGTAGCACTTATATGACATCAAATTTGATATAGGCACTCTTTTCATCCCAACAAATAATTCCAAAAAATAAAATTCAATTTGCGCCTTAGATATGATCAAAATAAGTCCCCCTCCAGTGATGAATCTAGACCGTTTATTCGGTGAATTTTAAGATCTAGGTCTTTACAAGTTCGAAATAAATTTTTTCTTTTCTTAACAATATTCATCTTATGATAACAAAGCCATCTACAAAATTTGGAGAAAACAAAAAACTCCTTCTAGGGCCTAGATCTAGGCATTTCACTGAACATATCACCTATGCTAAGTGGGTTAAAAAGACCTAAAAAGTTTGTTTTATTTTATTTTCTTTTGGGTAATTGATAGTCAAAATGAAAAGAGTTTATGTTAACCTTGAATTAAAGAATGTGAGCACAAGAGATTGGGCAAACCACAAGCGGGTGGCCCAAGGGAAAGAAAGAGAAAGAAAAAAGAATGAAAGGGCCTTTTTATTTAAAGGTTACAATCGAAAGAGCAACTTAGAAAAACATGCTAGTTTTCTATCAAAGGTACCGTTGCTTTAGCAAGGCTGTCGGTTTCCTGGTTTCCTTCTCTCCAAATATGCCTCCAAGAAATGTGTAGGATTCGATCTCATCGAAATACTGAGCCAGGAACCAGGGAGGTGGTGTAGAGGAGGGCATCTGCACCCAAGAAATGAGGTTCTTGGAATCTCCCTCTATAGTAATAGAGAGGAAGGTTAGAGATTGAACTAGCTTGAGTCCTTCCAACAGTGCAGCTGTTTCCGCCTCCAAAGAATCACCATGACCTATAGGTTTAGAGATAGAATTAAAAATTTAATAATAAAATTGAAAAATGCAAGATAATATAATTATCATATATGCCACGATTTTTTTTACAATGATATTCACTTTAATTCCTCATGATAATACAGTTTAACAACATGTATTTTTGCATTAAAAATTTAAAAAATTTAAAAAAAATTTTTAATGCAAAATTACATTAAAAATATAATACAGTTTAACAACAAATTAAAAAAATAAAGTTTTACATTAAAAATATAATAACATGTATTTTTTTGCATAAATAATCTATCAACATGCAATTTTTTGAACTAAAAATTTAACAATAAAAATTAAAAATATTGTTAAATTCCTCATGATAATAAAAAACTGGTCACAATTTTTCGAAAAATCACGATTTTTTTAAAAAAATTGATCATGAATTAAAAAAAAAAAAACGCAGTTCTTCGCAGACCCACCTAGCATCATTCATTCAAATTCAAAAATCCGCCTCAAATCGAATAAATTACATCAAATTGAATACATGTTTCGATAAATAACATTGTAAAGAATCAAAGCCCTATAATATTAACACATTATCATCAAAATATTAAATAAAATCGATGAATTGAGGAAAAAAAAACGCAGTTCTTCATAGACAGCAGTCATTCAATCTAAAAAATCAAGCTCAAATTGAATAAATCATATCAAATTGAATACATGTGATGATAAACAGCACTATAACGAATCAAAACCCGATAAATTTAACACATTATTTATAAAATATTGAATAAAATTGATAGAATGGCGGGAAAAAAAAAAATCGCAGTCCATTTTTTTTTCACAGACATCAGTCTTTTTTTCTAAAAATCAAAGCTCAAATTGAATAAATAAAATCAAATTGAATATATGTGGTGATAAACAACACTATAACGAATCAAAACCCTATTAATTTAACACATTATTTACAAAATATTGAGTGAAATTGATAAAATGGCAAAAAAAAAAAAAAACGCAATCCATTTTTTCTTCACAGACATCAATCTTTTTTTTCTAAAAAATCAAACTCAAATTGAATAAATAAAATCAAATCATACATGTGATGACAAACAACACTATAACGAATCAAAAGCCTATAAATTTAACATATTATTTTCAAAATATTGAGTGAATTTGATAGAATGGTGGAAAAAAAAAAAACCGCAGTTCTTACCTGTTTTTCGTGCACCCGTGGCTTCAAATTCAAATTTGATATGTATTCGTCCAAAATACTCACAAATTATGAACAAAAACTTCTGAACAACACTCTTACGATCAATAACCCTCAGACTTTACAAAAAATGATGCCCTCTTTTGCTTGAAATCAAAGAAATTGTGGAACCCTAAAATTTTTTTAGGGTTCTTCACAGATCCAACTTTTTTTTATCAAAATCGGTAATTTTTACTACATTTTATTGACTGAAATGGCTGAAAAATTTAAAATAAAGCCTGCAAGATTCGATTATAAAGTTGAAAAATGATAAGAAAATGACAAAAAACCAACAAAAACATGAAAAATATTGTGCAGCCCGTGTTCTTGATGAGGCTCAACGGTGACTCGGCGATTCACTATTGGGAATCGCCCGGTTCTCTCTAGACACGGGCGATTCCCGGTATTGTGGTGGAACCGACACGGGCACTGTCGATTCCCGAGTCGAACCGGACTCGTCCTGTTCAACTCGTCGAGTTTTCAAACCCTGGTTGAAACAAGCGCCATGGAAAATAAACTTAAATAATTTGCAGTCAATGCAATAGAATCATTTCCAAATTGCAATATAAACTAATATTTTTCAAACTTTTTTGAAAATCATTTTCAAGCATTTCTTGAAGTCAATACAATACAGTCATTTTAAATCATATTAGTAAAATTTTAGCCATAAATAATTTTGATAGCGCAAAGGCAAATCAATTTTGAATTAAGAAGATTAAAAAATCGGTATGCTAATTTGAAATATTTATAGTATAAAATCGTGTACATATTCTTTAGAAGTGTGAAATCACGCTAACTTTTTTTTTAATAAATTACTAAGTTTCAATTGAAATGTAAGAAGAACAAAAATAAAGCATTCAAAGAAAAAAAAGTCAGTACTATTCTTTGACTAAGAATTGTGTCAGAAGTGTTAGCATATAAAAGCATTTGAAAAGGAAATAGAATGGGCATAAATTTTACAGTATTGAAATATTACTCATTATAAAATCAGTAAATAGTCATAAAAAAAATGTTTGAAATGTAAAACTTTATTT